ACAGGTTTTATGGTTGTGAATTTGATTGAATGTTTCTCTGTATCCTCAAATGTTAGTTTAGATCTTGGATTGATTTGTGATGGAAAATTTTAATGTTATCAATTTGAAGGGGTGTGACAGAGGTGGTAGTTTGAGGATCAGTGAAATATTTGATATGTTGACATGCAAAATATACTGATGTGTAGTGAACTATAGTGATCGGTGAAAATTTTCTTTGATACATTTTAGGAATCTAGGGTGACGAGGACATTTGGTCCTCCTACTTCATCTACTTCTAATTAATTATAATAGATGAAAGGGTTGAACGGGGATATTAAATCAGAATGGCGTAGTGGAAGCATGGTGAACCTAATACATTAGTGGCAGAATAGTGGTAGAAAGATGGATGATGCAAATTGAGAAAATATTTGATGTACAAAATTATTTTAATGATCAAAAGAATTTCTGAAGATCAAGGTCAGGAATAGCAAGGACAAGTTTACCAATAAAAATATGATTGAAAATGAATCAGAAAATGATAACAAGAGGGTCAAGACATCTGGATTTGGAAAGGGAAGTCATCACAAAAGACTTAATCCTATGTAAGATGCGAGTTAAATTATGAAATAAGTTTGTGTTTGTGGGTGATTTGAGTCTATTTTGCTTGTGAAAAGTTAGATCATAAAGTCAAAGACTATCCTTTAAACAAGAAGAAAAAAATCACTGCCTCATAAATCATCAACCCATGTCATAGTATATGTTATCATTAAATATAATTCTAAAATTTCTGAATCAGTGGTCAAAGGTATTATTCATATTGACATGGTCGAAGGCATTATGTTGATGTGGTCCGCCATATCGACTTTGAAGCTCCTCGTTGGCATTGATATGGCTGTAGACAGTTGCGAATGGGCATACTACTAAATTGTGCCCTATCACACCTCTATCATGAATTAGTTAAGCAAACTTGGTTATCATCTTCGGTACCCAAAGGAACAAATTATATATCATAAATAATCAACAATTAGAGAGATGCAAAAATATTTATAGAAGCAAGAAACCATTAAATGCACCATCTAATTCCTAAGTTCAAGAACATAGGATTCCTCGAAATCAACAACTTTCATAGCACAAATCCAAGTACGAATTCCTAGAAATAGAATCTTGAAGAAAATAAAAGGGCAGAACCTCGGACCTTAAACTGTGACTTCAGATGTTCTAGCTCATTGTCGAGATCATTGATGGCCTAATTATATGCCTGGATCGGTGTGCTTTGAATCGTCGAGATTAACGCAGCGCAGCGGAGTGGCTTACCCTGAGTTCGACCTCGAGCTCTCGAGGGCTCGGCACCTTGTATCCGGAGAACATCACATCCGGATCTCGACGCAACTGCCTGTGATAATCCCGAAACAAAGGAACGCGTCACTCATAAGAACAATAACAGAAGCAGAGTCATCGAATGGAGAGGACGAGCATTACATTTCGAGGAGGTTACCGAGGGTGTGGTCTTCTCTTTGGGTGGTGAACTTACCGACGCAGGCGATGTTGGTTTCCTGCACGTAGATAACCATAATTCATGACATTCGGTGTACAAAAGCAGTGATGTTGTTTCACGGAGTTAGGAAGAAGTGAGAAGAATGCAAAATAGACGAGGGCGGAAGGTGGCGGCACTTTTGGGCTACGAAGTCTTGGTGATGTTCCTTCTTCTCCTTCTCCTTCTCCTCTTTACTCTTGGTGATGTTCCTTCTTCTCTCTTGATGTTGTTCCTCCTTCCTTTTTTACCTCAATCGGATCGTTGGCGCTCTCGTTATATTTACAGCAAAGCCTGAACCCGGCGTTTGTAAGGCGAAGTTTACATATATACCCCGCTACAATTAATTTTCTGAAATATATTCCTCGAATTTATATATATACCCCAATAGTCAATATTATCTTAGCAGAAATATTAAAATTATAATTAACATTAATATTCTTTAAAGTTATTCTTAGAGAGGATTATTATGGTAATAGAATCAAAGGTATTTTTCGTGTTCTATAAATTTTAAAATATTTTTTATACTCAAATTACGTGAAACTAAACATAATGATATTGGTATTAGAGAAACATTATTATGATTCGTGACCTAGAAAAAGAAATTTACCCCTGGACGTAAGAAATGAAGAGTCATATAAGATGCTAATTCGACGGAGTCCAATAAATGATCATGTAAGATGCTAATATGCAAAGTCCGATGAGTTACAGTGTCTCACATGTCACATAATCATCGGATTAAAAAGGAACATATTAAAAAAAAGAATAATTGTTGTAACCTTTCAGATCTGGAATATCTTCTTTAATGGCTGGTCATTCTTATTCAAACATTATAAAAGGAATTTTCTATTTTTTTATATCATTTCTCTACTATATCTCACTTACGATACGTTCCAACTTGAGCAGTATTTTTTTTTTTAACTCCGTTGATCTCATTCCAGAACTCTGTCTATAAATTCAATAGCTGACGATATAAAAGGAGAGATTTTTATTATTTATATTTATATTTTTAATTTAATTATTTGTAATATTCTTAAGACACCTTCTAGAAATGTCATCATTTAATTTTAACACCTTTTAAACTTCTTCTATATACTCCTTTTTTTTGTTCCCCTTCTCTTTTTTTTTTCTCCTCCTCCTAATCATCTTGATGATCAGGAAAAGACATAGTTAAGGTTCTGATAACGATACTCATATAGATGATTAACCTACAAATGAAATGGATTGTATAAACTAATAATAATAAAAAAATCATGAGAAATAAGAATATGATTAGTAATTGAGGGATTGTCTTTAATAAAATTATTATTTTAATTATTATATGAAGTAAGGGGTTGTCATCTCTTAATTTGTAACTATAATAATAGCATTAAATCTATGGGTGATTTAAAAAAAACTATTTTTTTCTTTTCTCTTAAGATGCCTCTTTTTTTTTTTTTTCAAATAATGTCTCTTATTTTTTTTATCTTGTAAATATCCCTCGTTGCCTCCACCTAATAATAAGACCCCATCACTCTACCCATTGACGTCCTATCATAATCTTTGCTATCTTACCATCATTCTCACGTGCTTTCACCCTACCTATGAAAATCTCACTATCTCATTGCTATCCTCGCAAGCTTCATGAGGCTCTTCTTTCACCTTTGCCATACAAATGGAGATATTGCCATCGTCCTTAGTATCTATTTCCACTACACAAGGCTTCCCCTCACTTCTCTCCTGCATGACCCACCACGTGAGATGTCACCTATACCTCTCCATGCTGCTCTGCTTAGTGATTGAACGATAGTGAGGGGTTACAACAATAAAGAATGAGGGGCAATGAGATAAAATAATAAAAAATAAGGAATGAAGGACGAAAGCAATAAGGTAAAAGCGTCGAGGTCGATAGTCAATACGGTAAAAGATAACAAGGCACAGGTGAATAAACATCAGGGAAATGAATAAAAATCAGAAATTTGTTTTTTCAGGGAAATGAATAACTTGTTGCAAACGTTTGTACTTGTCCAGTAACTACAATCACAATCATTTATAATTGCAGGTAAATAAACATCTCTTACGTGCTTACGAAGGACAATACCTTAAATGCTCTCACAAGCATAAACTTTAGCAGGTAATATTTGGACTCCTCGATCATCGCAAACTATATTTACAATCATTTATAATTGCAGGAAAATAAACATCACTTATGTGCTTGTGAAGGACAAAACCTTAAATGATCTCACAAGCATAAATTTAGAACAGGTAATATTTGAACTCCTCGTTCTCTTGGAGAAGTTCGTGCCGTGGACACTTCACATCTTGCGAATGCTTTGCTTTTCATTACCGTAAAATATATATTTGATATCATCAAAATCCATGAAGATCATCATGTCATCAAATAATACAATGGTTTAGGTTAAAGTGCCAAGTAGATAATTTACATTATTCGGGCAGACATATCCTTTTTTTATTCAAATATTAGGAGGGAAAAATTGTTGGATATTTGAAAACCAACAATTTTTATATAACTTGCTTATGAATTTTCAAATTTATTTTAAAGAGGCATTTTTTATATTTTTAAATTCGATTAAAAGGACCGTAATTAAAGTGTACCAAATATTTTGTTTTTTTACCATGAATTAAAATTATTGAGTATATCAGTTTATGAATATTAGGACAAAAGTAAAAGGAGAATTATTATGGAATTTTCGAATTATACAAATGAAAAATCGACTTACATACTACAGGTGAAACCATTAGAAAATCTCCAATTTATAATGAGTTTATAGTTGGAGAGAAACCACTTAATTTTTCCCACTTAAATATTATGTTAATTATCCCATATTACAAACAAATGAAATTTATACTACATATGTATCCTTCAAACCACCAAATAAAACTACTTAATTATCTATTTTTTCTACCTTTACCTGCAGTTCCGACTGAGCTAAATCTTAAGGGATCAATCATTTCCTATGTTCCTCTTTATGACGCAACACGAATGGGGCCACAACTGTCGCTGATCGGTCCAATGGACGGCTAAGATGGACTCCCGGCACTTCCTCAGCCATCTTATAAAAGACACATGCCTCGTGTTTTACCTGCTGCTGATCCGCTATTTTAAAAAACTTTTATTGTGGGGGCCAAGAGTACATCCATCTATAATTCAGGTACAATTTGAAACGTAGAAACACAACCCGAATGAATCCGAAACTCGCATTACTGGCGGTCATGCCAAGTGGACGGCATGGATGGACTCCGAGCATCGACGACTCGTAAATGGCCCACTCCAATACACCGATCGTGTTCCTTCTGCACCATTGGGCGGGGTTTTTTTTTCTTAGTTTGGACCCACTCCCTGGAGGGTGACGGTAACAGGAGTGGACACCTAAAATTCCCACCGCAACTAATAGCCGAATACGAATACATCATGTAACCTAATACATGTAACGTTATATATATGTTATATATAGATATATATATCGCTTCTCTCCGCCCCTCTTCCCTGTCTTCTCTTGGCCCTGGTTCACTTCGCCCGCCCCTTCCCTCTCGCTTCGCAATAATCCCATATATTTCCCCTCGGGCTTATTATTATTTTTATTATCGCCCAATTCCCACCTCGCTCTAATTCTTTTTCAAATCGATCACAGGAGCGAAACCCCTCCCCCTTTTAAACCCCAACATCTCATCCGATCTAAATGGCTTTCCACATCGCTTGCCCCATCACTTGGTAATACTTCTCTTTCCCCCTCTCCCTCTCTCCTTCCCTTTCGTTCGCTCTCGTTTGGTTGTGGGGTGACGAATCCCTTTCTTTGGTCCGCAGCCGGCGGATTTGCGACTGCGAGCTCGGATTCCCGGCGGGGCTGCGCGGGGAGGCGGGGAAGGGCGCGTTCTTGGATGAGATCGACGCGCTCGAGGAGTTCTTGAGTGACCCGTGGACCGTCCGGCCAGACGCCGCCGAGAGGGAGGAGGAGGAGACGGTCCAGGTATGGGTGCCTCGCGTGTCGCCGGCCGTTGCCGTGCCCTCCGCGGCCGTGGACGACAGGGGCGCCGGCGTAGGCGACGAGGTGAAGCGGGCGTTGCTGCAGCGACAGGCGCTGGCTGCTTCCCTGGCGGCAGAGGACTATGTCCGGAGGTTGGAGGCTGGGGGTACTGCGGTGAGTGCCCTTCTTGCGTCTCATGACGAGGCTTTCTTTAGGAGTTTAGTGGTTGGCTTGTTGGCCTTGGTAGATTTGGGGGATAATATCTTGGAATGTTTCACCAGGATTCTTGCTATTCTAGAATTCATGTCTATATCTTCACTTTAAGTGTTTCTGGATTCGACCCATAGTTGAAGGTTAATTTTCTTCTCTATTGCTTTCAGGTATACAAATTTTTTGATATCGAATTTGGTGAAGATGTTTTTTCTCATCTTGTACGGTTTCCTATATATCTCTGTTGATTGTAATTGAAGTCTCAATAGTTGTTTAAATCACCTCCATGATGGATGTAGGATAATTTATGCAAGTTTTTCTAGTTAACCATTGATGAAGGAAGTGATATTATGCAAATCGTTGATTAGTTAACCATTTTATTTTAACTTTTTGTTTGAACAAACAACCACAAACCAATTCTGTGCTCTAGGCACCACCTTTTTTATATCAAACCTTGACAATGGTTGAAATAGATTTTTAGAAGGGGGAAAAGGATGTTACTGTTACTGATCCATTTTGTGTCACTTCTTTCTCATCATCAGAATTGTTCTTGCCAGAGTTTGTAGTGTCAGTTCGTAGCTGAATGCCATGAATATGTTATTCTAGTAAAAGATCTCGGACTTGGTAAGATAATGGCCATATCCTGTGGAAATTTATTTGTTTACTTGATGTCATAACTTGATCAATTTTTAATACTAATAACATGCCTTCCAGTTTAGCTTTCACCCAAATCTTTTCTAATTTTTGGTGAATAGTTCTATGTCATCATCATATTATGTTACAGATGAAAAGGCAATGTTTATCGGCCCAGTTAAAATCAACCATTGTTTTTTTACATGTCAACGTGTAACTATATTAATTGTATGCATCACAGAAGAGCCAAACAATAGTGAGACTATTAATGGCACAGCTTGCTCTTGGTATGATGTAAGAAAGATTTGGGTTGTTCTTGCTTAAAGGGTATAATTTGGACTCCTATAAATGCAGACTTTCTGTATGGTCTTGGTTTGTGCCTCCTATCCAATCATTTCAGAATTTCACTTATTTATTACCACAGGGGGGAGCTTTGTTCTCCGTAGTGTGCACCACTATATCATCCACCAGTTTAGACAAGTACCATAGGTATGTGCTGCAAAGTGGCCTAAATTTTCCCGCTTGCCAACTAGTTAAAGTATTAAGCTTCTAAGCTATCAGGTAAATTTTGTTTTGGTTACTGTCACAGGCAATTCACTTTACAGATTACTGAGAGATTCTTCTACTGTCATACACATTTGAGAAAGTTGTTTGCTTAATTTACGTACCTGTCAAGGTATGGAGTTGATATTACCTTAGCAAATTGGGTGGAAAGATTCATGATATTGTTTGGTTTCTTTTTTGAATTTGGGAAAGCTGTTGCTTTACTTTTGATTTGCTATTGGGAAATGGGTTCCAATGGCAGTGATATCACCCCCATGATCGTGTTGATGACTGGGAAACTGAAGGTTTTTCAAGGCATGATGCTAGCAATATGTTTTATTTATTTAAAGTAAGAAAGAAAGGTGGTTGCTGATATTAAATTTAATAGAACTTTACAGGTTAACATTGCTAACTAGGAGATTGTGACTTTCTGAGAGTCAGGATCTTTAGTCACATACCAATTGTTTTGGAAGTGCTTTTGTCATTGCATTGCTGCGATCTATATTGTTTACATCACCAAAATAATTCCCAACTGATTGTTCTAGGTGCTGTTATTTCTGATGATTTGACTTAGTAGTGAGAAACATTTAGACATATGAAAGCAAAAGGAAATCAATTAAAGTGGCTTCCATTTTCTTTTTGGGGTTTAAGGGTTTGTTTTATACCTCCATATTATAGGCCTCCTAAATGTTGATATCTGAGTATTGCTTCAGTGGTTGTTGCTTTAGAAATATATTGTCTCAAACATGTGGCACTATGCTGATTGTGTTAGATCTTGTAATTTATATGAGTCAATTTAGACTATTGTGGTGTAATTAAATCTATGAACAATCAGTCACTTATTGATTGGAATTCTGGTCAAGCACTTTTGCTAGCCAAACATATACTTTATTGCTCACTTTATTTTTCTGAAACTTGGAATTATACAATGTCGTCTCTCTTGTGGTATTGACCCAATGCGTTCTGTTATTGCCTGAATTGCAACGCAATAATAGATATTATTTAAATTTTGGTTTCCAAGAACTTGGTGACCTGACACTACCTTAGTAATCGTGGAACGTCCATTTCTGAACTTTTCTTCTGAACCTCTTAGTATTGCACAGCACCAAGTACAATTGCTATGCTGTTTAGTCAACTTCCTTTAGACATGATCTTGTGTCATCTCTATGAATTCTTGATGTTCCTTCATGATTTGTTTAACTTTACATGGCTCCCATCTTAGCTCTATTATTTCAGTACTTTTTGTTAGAGGATATATCTTGTCTCATTGCCTATTTAGTGGTGTAACACACATTCCCTTGTTTCAGAATTAATTTCTTGTGTTTGTATAACCAACTGAATGGTTTTTAAAAGGTGTGTAGACTATATTGTATGTACCTCTGTACTCCTGTTCACCAGCACAAGGACAGCCATTAATTTGGATTCTCTTACTCCTGAACTATGTGGAAATGAAATAGCTCATGTTGTAGTAAAATGTTTTAGTAAGTATTTCTTTTAATCTGCTGTAAAGAAAAGCAGTGGATAAAGTAATTTGAATTATCCCAGGAGTTACTAGGAGAGGCAACTAGCAATCTTGCTAGGGATGATCAAGGGGTTTCTACCGTCAAGGTCATGTGCCGTATTTGTTTCTCTGGGGAAATTGAGGGAAGTGAGAAAGCTATGAAGATGCTATTGTGCAAATCATGCAACAGGAAATACCACAGAAGTTGCTTGAAAACATTGGTTGAACATAGAGGTTTCTACTCACAATTCAAGGCTACACAATAGAAATATTTTCCCCGAAGATTTCATTACTAAACATGTCTTTTCCTGCAGATCTATTTCATTGGAGTTTGTGGTCTTGCCCTGCGTGCCGCATCTGTGAGGTACTTGCTTTTGCTGGTCTATGTTGGTCACAGCATGCCTTTCTGAATAAAGAGTTAGAACTTTACAAAGAAGTTACTAGAATTCTAGGAGACATTTGTGCTCGTGCTTGGACCTTTTTACTTAGACTTCATTTGTCGGGATATAGTGTAGGGACTTCTTGTGAAATTATGTTGTCTATAGATGTTAGTCTATTTTCCTCTTCAAATATACAGAACAAGGTCTACCACTGCAGGAATGTTGGTAGAGACAACTAATTCGATTGCTAAAGCTTGCTTAGAAAAAGTAATTCAGTTTCTCTTGGCTGCTGTTTGATGAATTTGATAATTGATTTTATAGAATGCTAATCTTAATGCATCCTTTATTTGGCGACAACCTTGACATGCTGAATAGCATGGAAGTTGATTTGGAATTTTGGATACTGTTATTGATGCACAAAATCTGCTATGTGGTGGATATTTTTTTATTCTTTGACATGTTAGATGTTGATGTTGATTCTATGCTGCTGACAATGTCCAACAAACGTTATGTTGTCAAGTTATGTTTGACACTGTCTCCTATTACTTTAGGAACAATTTTTATCATATCATCCATCGTCTGCTCTATAATGCGACTATTCGTCTCAGGTGCTTATGTATGAAACATTGGATGAATTCAATGGACTTCATGTTTGGTTTGTTAAGTGTATTTTAAGTTAATTTTGGCAATTTTCAGTTGGACCCAGAATGCTAACTTTTAGTTATTTTTCATTGGATGACTATTAAAACAGATGCACTTAGTAGTGAGACCGTGGAAAATTTAGTTTACAAGTGACCATTGCAATGCAATGGCTAGATAATTGCAGAGATTTCCAGACATAAATATATTGTTCTTGGCAGTCCCCAGGGTGTCATTTGAGCATATGTCATATTCATGCATTCTTCTGTTGTCCCCTGAATTCTAGCGATCTAGATTGCAAATGTTATGTTTAATCTGAATTGACAGACTGTCATGGACAGCCACTGCAAGCCTGCAATGCAGGACCTTCGTCACTCGAGCAATCTGTGTTTTGTTTGTCATCACCTTTTTTCTTGTGTACAACTGTGAATAACGAGGCATATGGTAGCTGAGCAGTCTCATTTTGCATGTAATTTGCTTGTTTTCGACTGTAAATGTAGTCTGCAGAACATTCCGTTGACTGTCAACATTCCTGGACTGAAACTGGCCAAAACAACCCATTTTGCTTGTGCCACGACTACTGATTTTCAGTATTGTTGTTGGTGGAAAAAACGTTAGCTATCTCAGCACTCTAGAACTGCACAGTTGGCACTGGGCCGATTAGGACTTTGGTACAGTAGTTGGAGAGCTTCAACAACTCGTGAGGCCATAAGTGATATATTCGTAGAAGTGTGAGACTTCGTCAAACTCTTTGACAACTCGGGACCCTAATACGTTTGGATTTGGGACTGCCTTTTCAAGGCTAATTTAGTTCTTATTACTTTCAATTATTTGTAACGTGTGCCTTCCAGACAAAGATGACCTTGTGTTTGTCGTTTGCTTCTTCAACTAATTCTGTTCTTCTTTTGCAGATCCTTTGGGACCGCAAGGGGTGGAAACCTAGGCTGATCCTTGTGGGTAGAAGTCAGCTTGGGTGCCTCATAAGTTAGACAATTCTAGCTAAGTTTGTGATATGATGGAGTCAAATGGTGGCCGACACCCACCTAATTATCACCATGTGAACTTTTTACCATGATTTCCTTCCTAATCCATGATTAAAGGTGCATCTCAGGTGCAAAATATATTTTTATTAATTATGTCCTTTGAGGGTGAATCTTAATGCCATGATGAGTTGTTTCCTTATTACCCGGATGTCAAGGGTTCAATTTCAAAAGCAGCCTTTTTGCTTGTAGGAGTAACCCATCCTAGACATGGCAGTTATGGCAGACTGTCTTGGGCTGCCCTTCTGCTCTTGGAGGAATTTGCATTTAAGAGGGAAAATTGTTTCAGGGTAACTGTGGTTTAATTAATAGTTATGTATTAGAAAAGTGCATGTATATTCATGCACTTTTGTTTTCAGGAAGCAATTAAAATGGAAAGAAATTAATATTTTTAATCATTTTCAATGATGATACGTGCTATTTCTTGTACATGATAGCTGATAGCCTGATACCACCGAAAGTGATATCTTTTTATCAATGAAATAGTTGCACAATGGGACAGGAGTAATTTACTAGTTATGGGTTATGAATGGGCAAGAAATCCAATGTGAAATTTATATTTTGAATAAATCTGCTCCAGGATAATGGCATATATTTTTAAAGGTTTCCTTCTAGAAAGTATAAATTAGTTTGTATTGTTTAACTCATGAACCCATGATTGGTGGGATTTAGGCTTATAATCATGCTATCGTAATCTGGCTCCAAGAACCTGACATGTTGTGTGCAGGCTGTAAGTAGCATCGCGAAAGATACTTGCCATAAGGGCATAGTTGTGATGTTGATTATTAATGGTAGCTTGACTTTGGAGGAAGAGTAAGCTTGTGGTGGTTTAAAAATGCCAAATCGTGTTTCAAGCATCATTGACTGGAAGTTTTCAGAAGCTCAAATGCACTCGAGTATCATCAGCATGTCCTGGGCCTGTTGGTTATGGGCATGATATGTGCTGTTGGCACGTCCTTTGCTGATACCATGTCAACATGGTCATGCTGGCAGCATACTTAGTGAGAATTAGAGGTCATATGGATTCCAAGTGATCTGCTGTTGGTCTCCTTCAGTGTCCCATGACAACAGTTCCAACTTCATCAAGAATGATTATTTATGTTCCTGCAGTGCAGGCATTAAGGTTAATGCCAGTTGGCCTCAGGATAAAATATATAGGCCTGTTATCTATCTGTAGTCATCTGATATCCCTCTTTGCTTTTGAAAATCCAGTCAGAGATGAGGGTCAAGAAGTTTGATAAAGATGATATTTTAGTGATGATAAATATCCTCGACTCTTGACTATGTTACTAATGCATTTTTTTTCCTTGAAAAGTGAATAAATATGACTACATATAGTAAATAATAATAATATAGCTCAGTAGAACAGAGAATCAACTTCTTATCTTGTGCCAATCCTGTTGCTATGGTACTTGCAATATGATATTGCTCTTTATTGTTCAAGCTTTGTCTGTGGCTCTGTGCTACTTGGCATGGAATGGAACTCCACTTATTTGCTTTAGTTAGTTTTGACTCTTATCCATGCTAACATGAATGTCTAGATTCCACATCAATTTTGGAAAAATATTAATACCATGATTTACTTTTTTCTGCAACAAACTTGAGCTTCTGTGTGGTGTGTAAATCAAACATGATGTTCCATGGGTGACATAAGCCTATAATGTTCATGAGTGCTTGTAATGAAGTTCCGACTCTCCAGGTAATCTTAGAAAAATAATTCAATGCCAGAATAACAAACTGTTCTTATTTCAATATATAGGAGTATTTATTTGTATGTTGTGTTGAAAGTTGAAACCATGTGGTTTAGTTGCAAAACTGATAGTGAAAAGCATCAATATTCTAGTTCTTAACATTCTCTTCTGCTTCAAAAACGTTCTTTAGAAAATTGTGACCAACTTTACACAACAGAAAAACCATCCGGTGTTGACCTTAAGATAGTGAAACCTGTTGCCTTTATTCCATTCTGCTAGGTGTCTTTTGTTTGATGTCATATGCTCATTTTTGTCATGTTCCTTGTTATCGTCCGTGCTTGAGTTGATGGTTATATCAGTTCCTGATTCTCTTTTACCCAGGTCTGCCGAAGAACTGGTGATCCCAATAAACTGATGTATTGTAAAAGGTGCGATGGCGCTTATCATTGCTACTGTCAGCACCCACCACACAAGGTGTGTTATATGACTGATTTCTGGATAATGCATAGTTTTCTGCATTTCAAGTATTGTGTCAACAATTTAACTTGCAGAATGTGAGCCGTGGACCTTACTTGTGTCCAAAGCACACAAGATGTCACAGCTGTGGGTCCACCGTTTCAGGAAGTGGTCTTAGCACAAGGTAGTTCAAATACCAAACTGCATTTCGCATGATTAAGTTGCTGCAGTTGTCTGAGCTATTTTCTACACTACATAGTTGATCAACAAGGTTGTGATATTTTGGTGTAGTTGTTTGAGATATATTCTATATGCCACATGGTTGAACCACATGGCCCTCATTATGATGCTGTAGTCTTCTGAGATATTTTATACACTATTAAGTTGAACCACAAGCTCTGAAACTAGTCTGTTTTATTGGCATCATTCCTACTCTAACATGGATCAATGATCTGCAGGTGGTTTTTAGGCTATACCTGTTGTGATGCTTGTGGTAGATTGTTTGTGAAAGGAAACTACTGTCCAATCTGTTTGAAGGTACTGCTTTATTATACACAAGTTTTCCAGCTTTTAAAAGGAAATCTTGGATTACAGTTTACAGATTATAAGGAAGATTCTGTGAATTGGATGAGAGCCATTTACATATTATAGTGACCATATTTCATTTATGTTTGCCTATTTTGTATTATGTTTTTGGAAAATCCTTGAGTTAATCTGTAATATTGACAGGATTAGCAAGTTAGTGATCATTTAGTAATAAGGTTCATATTATTGGGAGTCAACTATATCTGAGTAACTAGATGACAAATCCTCGAATAGCATATGTTGGATCTTGACTGGTTATATTGGTAGCAACAATATGTGCTGTCCCTAGGAGTAAGGTTGAGTTGTATGGATGGTGCATTTATCTTTTTTTGACAAAGACTACAAGCTACATTCATATTTCATAAAGCTAGTAAAATAAGTACAGGGTGGAAAGGAAAAAAAACGTCAAAAGAAAAGTAAAAAGAAAAAAAAGGAAAAATATAGAAATAATGAAGGCAGGAGAGCCTTCCCAATCCAATTGCAATAACTAAAAGACAATCCAGTAAATGTGTCAAATTTTTGGATTCCCAACTGCTAATGTAAGTAGGATCCTTTTGAAGTTAGAAAACTACTCTAAGGCCCTGGTGAGGATGTTTCTCTGAAAAACTTTGTTATTTCACTCCTTTGTAAATCATCATACAGATCAACAAGACAGGGAATGAAGCTAGATGGCCATGGGAATTGGACATAAGTCACCTCAAAATCAAGGTAGATGGAGGGCACAAAAAACCATTCAAGCTCTATCCCAAAGATTCTATCATCTAAACCAAGCAATTTAACTTGCCCATTTTTTTCCATAAATAAAGGAAAACAACTGAATGTGATATAAGGGCCCAAGAATGAGGTTCAAATAATGCCTTAAAAGTTCAACCAAAAACCATGTTGGCACAAGCCAAAGGTGATTGTGATCTTAGGATTTCTAGTATGGAAATCTTAAAAGGAGGGTTCAAGCCATTAGTCTTCCATAGATTAATTGATCTTCCATTGCCAAGCGAAAATTTATGCTAATTAAAGATTTTTAGGATTAAGGAGATATCGAAGATACAGTGATAATGCCAATTCAATATCTTTAAGTAATAATGAGGAAAGTGTTGGGAAAGGAAAGAAAGCGATCAATGCATCCAAGTGTAGGGCTACTAATTTACCATGCATCGTATTTGAGGTTTTTTTTTTTTTCACTCTAGAGATGTGCCTTGGAATCTCCTAGTAAAATGAAAAGAAAAAGACATTAATGTATGATTAATTCATCAGACAACTAAATTATCCTCCCAATTTATCTGGTCACTAGCTAAGAGACTAGACTCATGTTGTTTTAACATGTTTTAGACTATAGCTATTAGGTGGTTACCAAAAGTTGATCATGGCTTGTGGATATGCTTTTTTGCGATAACTCGAATGATAACACATTAACATATTCTTCAATAGTTCCCACCTTTGTCTTGCCCTATGCCAAAGCCTTTTGACTCCAATTTCATCTATGCAAGTTGAGTCGGGCCTCCTTGCCTTGGTATCTATATCGAGACTCAATTTGTAGTGAGATAATTATAGCCCTCATGGTCCTTCGTTACGTGGGTCGGCCCTCCATAAAGCTCGATGTTCACCTCATCGGCTCGATGCATGCCTTCATCTTTGGCAGTCTTCAGTAGCTTCCCGACTTGATCTCACGACGTGTCCATCGATATATCACCTCCTATGAGATCTTGTGATGACTCCTCACTGTAGCTTGATTTTGGCTTCTTACGAGCTTTATAGAGCATTTATCTTTGCGACCCTTGTCTTTCGGCTTGGAAGAGAGATTGGTAAGGCATGCTTCTTAAAGGCATCTCCTTCAATGTGTGTGGTCCATTGCACAAGAAGCATTTGTCAAAAATTTGGGCTTATCCTCTTGGAAACTAACTTGTCTCGTTGGAGCAACATTCATCTTCACATACTTCTTTCATGCATACTTTCCTCATGCAAAAGATAAAATTTTCTTTGTCCATTACGTCGAATTTCGATCACCTTGGGATGGCCACAGACAATTCGTCGTCTATATATAAAGCCATTGTATGAATACCGAACTTTTCAGGTCATCAATTCCCTCGCCTCTATGAGCCCTTGCACAAACTCTTTTAGTCGTTGATCAACCATTCTTTGATTTTCACAGTCTCATTTTTTAAGAAGCTCTCTCGCTTACATCGAGCACTGTGAAGTTAGGTTGACCACATTGAGTTGTAGCTCGAACTAAGCCATCTCGTCCTTTATGTGCATGTATATTCTTCCGAGCTCGCTTCTTGTGGTGCCCCCCGTGCGATGTGTTGGTCATCCCTTTGAACGCAATCTTGGATGCATGCTCCTCTGGATGACTTTATTTCCAACGTTTCCAAACCCATATTCTTTAAACGGTCACACAAACTGCCCTCCAAGCAGCCCACTGTTAGGATCAAGAGCACTAAGA